TTGCCCCACCTCAATGGTGCGGTGCAGGGGGTCTACGATTTGCCAGATGATCAGCGTGACCACATCCAGCCCCACAAGCAACCCCACAGTGGCATACAGCTTCCAAGGCTCCAGGGTCTGGGTGTGGGGACAACAGTGTCACCAAGATCCTGTGCCCCCCAGTCCCCCCGCGCCCCACTGGGTCACCCCTCACCTTCCTCTTCTCCTTCTTCTCCTCCTTCTTGGTGAAGACGGTGTGGACCCACCAGATCTTGGTGAACATGCTGCCGTACGCCAGGCTGAACCCCAGCCCGAGGAGCCACAGCCGAGCCTGGGGAGGGTACGTAGGTTGGGAAGAGCCGGTTGTACCTCCCCGTCCAGCTGTACCCACCTCCACTGCACCCCCCCAGAGTGTACCCCCTCCTGTAGACCTCCCTTGACCAACTCCTTTGGAAGTCCACAGCTCTACTCCCAGCTGTACCCCTTCCAACAGTCCCAGTCCCCTGGTGCATCTCCAACTGTTCATCCTCCAACTGACCCCATCCCCTGGCTGTATCTCCAACTGTTCTTCCTCCAACTGTCCCCATCCCCTGGCTGTATCTCCAACTGTTCCTCCTCTGCCTGTACCCATCCCTGGCTGTATCTCCAACTGTTCCTTCTCAGGCTGCCCCACCCCCTGGTTGTCCCCACTCCACCTGTACCCTCCAACACCCTGCCAGCCCCATACCTGACAGACGAAAGGGAAAAGCCCTGGCCCGATGTGGTACCCGTCAAGTCCCAGGGGGAATACGGCAGCAAGCGCCAGCGTGCAGCCCACAGCCGTCATGTTGTTCAGGTACGGCTGTGAGTTCTGGATGTACCTGGGGAAGGGTTGTTGAGAAGATGGGGGTGTCACCCAGTCACCATGCTCAGCTATCGGTGGTGCACAATGTTCAGTTAACCCGTCAGGATGCGAGAAATGGGGACACGAAGTGAGATAATGGGAAACCATGTGCTACATCCAGACCCTTGATAGCGCCCAAAGCTCCTACGCAGCGAGACAGGCAACTGGGATAGCTACTAACAGCAACGTTTTGTCACTGTCATCTTCCGTAGGAGGACACGGGAGCACATAATCCCTTTTTTTCCCTCTGGGTGTTGCTAACCGTACACTGCTGAGCTTTTTTTAGCAGCTATGGAAAAGGAAAGGTGTGATATTTCCCCAAACCCCAGGAAAATGGGGAGGATTACTGACCGGACATGCCCGTTGTAGATGTTGAAGGCCAGGCAGATGATGGCCAGGAGGATGCCCAATGAGGCCAGCACTGAGACGGAGATGAAGAGCTTCTGGGACAGGAATCGGAAGGTGGTGATGACCTTGGTGTAGTCGGCTGGAGGGGCACCTCCTGCAGAGCCCATGGCACAATTAGGGGGCGTGGGGGTGGTCTTCCCAACCCTTCCCTGTGGCAGTGACCCCCCCCTGCTCACGCCCCACATGCGGTGCTGCTCACCAATCCACTTGTCGTTGTTGTACCAGGACAGGTTGTCCTTGGTGCTGTCGTAGTAGCCGATCTTCTTGTAGACACCTCCTGCAAGGGCAACGGAGATGGGCCAGGTGGGAGGGATGGAGGCATGACACCCCTCCAGCATTTGCGCACACCCCCACAGGATCCCAGACTGGTTGGAGGTTGGCAGGGACCTTTGGGGGGTTGTCTGGTGCAAACCCCCTGCTCAAGCAGGACCACCCAGAGCCCGTTGTCCATGACCACGTCCATGTGGTATTTGGATGTCTCCAAGGACGGAGACTCCACCAGCTTTCTGGGCACCTTCTGCCAGTGCCTGGTCACCTGCACCACGAAAAAGTGGTTCCTGATGTTCAGCTGGAGCTTCCTGTACTCCAGTCCCTTCATCACCTTCATTGTGGTCCTTTGCTGGATGCTCTCCAGTAGCTCTCTTGTACTGGGGAGCCCAGTACTGGCCCCATATCTCTAGGTGTGGCCTCACCAGTGCTGAGCAGAGGGGAAGGATCACCTCCTCGACCTGCTCCACCACTCCTCCTGATGCAGCCCAGGACACTGTTGGCCGCATCGCTGACTCATGGTCAACTTGGTGTCCACCTGCAAAGCTGGTTGACCCCCAGCCTGTCCTGGTGCCTGGGGTTGTTCCTGGAGCACTTCCCCTTGTTGAACCTAATGAGGTTCCTCTCATCCCATTTCTCCAACCTGCTGAGGTTCTTCTAGATGGTTCTTCAACCCTCTGGCATCTCAGTTGCTCTTTGCAGTTTGGTGTCACCAGCAAACCGGCTGAGGGTGCTCTCTGCGCCATCATCCAGACCATTGATGAAGATGTTGAACAGGACTAGACCCAGTATTGACCCCTGGAGCAATGGTGACTGGCCTCCAACTGGACCTTCTGCCACTGATCCCCACCCCCTGGACCTGGCTGATCAGCCGGTTTTCAGTCCACCCCACCGTCTGCTCATCCAGCCCAGACTTCGCCATCTTCTCTATGGGGATCTTCTGAGAGACAACAGTGCTGAAAGCCTTCTTGAAGCCAAGGTAGACAATGTCCACTGCTCTCCCCTCATCTACCAAGCCAGCAGAAGGTGGTCAAGCATGACTTCTCCTTGGTGAATCCATGCTGACTACTCTTGATGACTTTCTTGTCCCAAGCTCCTTGCTTGTCCCCCGAACCTCCTCCACCTCGGGACCTCCCTCTGTCACATGCAGGAGCAGTTGTGTGTTGGTGAGGACACGTGGCCAAAAGGGTGCGGAGAAGGGGGTTGTCCCATGTGTGTTGCCACCCCTTGAGATGTTGTGCGGTGGCGGGACTTGCTGGAGTGTGCGCCTCGGAGTGGTTGTGTGCTGTTGTGCAGACAACATGGCCGCAACGCCGAGCTGCGGCTGTTGTGCGTGTTGCAGGATGCTGGGTGGTGGTCACCACGTGCAACATGGTGACAGCGTCACCCTGATATGGCTGCTGCCTGTGCTCACTCACCTTGCAGCTGCTCAATGAGCGTCCAGGCCATGCGGGAGCCGCTGGCGTCAAAGACAACGTGTCCCTGTGGGGTGGGATGGAGATGGGTGTCGGAGACCTGTCAGGGGGCAGGACCATGTCCCCAGAGGGGTGCTGGGAGAATGTTTTCTCTGGGAGTTTTGGGGTGGCTCATGAGGGAACCCTTGATGGATGCCTTCAAGGCACCTCCAGCACCACCTTGAAGGTGGAGGAGTTGGGGACATGGGAGACCTTGTTGGGGAGAAGAGGACACGCTGGGGCCGGGGACTGGCAGGGGCTCATGTGTGGGCAACGCACCGAGACGCCCTCGAAGGCAGAGGAGTTGAGGGCCCGGTAGATCTCATCGGTGATGTTCTTGTTGTTGTAGTTGAAGTCCTCCAGGCGCAACCCCTTCTTGACCAGCTCCGCTGAGGTCTTGTTGAGGGCCAGAGCCAGTGCCCAGATGGCATCGTAGGCCAGTGGTGCCTCCTGAAAGCCACCTGTCTCTTCGGGGTTCTTGCCCAGCCTCTTCTGCAGCTTCTCAATGAACTCCTGGGACGTCTGGGATGAGGAATAAGATGGTGGTGATGTGGTGGGTGGGATGGAGTGGACCCCCTGGGAGTGCCATGTCCCCCCCCCCATCCTCCCCATACCATGTTGGAGATGCTACGGGTGTTCTCAGGGTTGAGCATGACGATCTCGGTGGTGACGTGTCCTTCCACGGCCTCGGCCATCTCCGCCTCGGTGCAGTTGATGGCTGGATCCTTGATACGGAACCAGTTGTCAGCGTACCAGCCGATGAGGAACCAGACGTACTTCTTGCCGTACAGCTTCTCCTTGTAGACCTGTGTGGGCCAAGATGCAGTGGCCTTACCCTTCACCCCATCCTTCCCACCACCCCTCTGTCCATCGCTCTTCAGCCCATCCCATCCAGCCACCCTTCACTCATCTAGCATCCTTCTCCCCGTCCTGTCCATCCATCCAGACCTCTGTCCATCCACTCTTCACCCCATAACTCTGCTCAACCTTCCCACCATCCCACCTGCCCATCCTGTCCATCCAGCTGGACCTCTGTCCATCCACTCTTCCCTCTGTGCCTCCACTCAACCATTTTCCTTCCCACCATCCCACCTGCCTGCCCACCCACCGGTTCTATCACCCTCACACCTCCCACGCTTCCACCCATCCATCCTCATGTCTTTCTGCCCACTGACCCACACATCCCACCACCCTTCACCCCATCCCACCACCCATCTCCCCACCCTCCCAACTGCCCCACGTCCACCTGATGTCCACCCCCTGCTTCTCTACTGCATGCCATCCATGGTCCCCTCCTCCCATGTGCCCCCAAGGTGCCCACCCACACCACATCCCCCCTTTCTACCCCTCACCTCGCAGAAGACCTTACGCGCTTCTGTCTCGTAGAAGAGCCCCACGATGATACGGGCGTCCTGGCGCTGCAGGGAGATAAGTCACCCTGGGGTGGGATTTCTGCTCCCCTTTGCTCCTAGAGGGTCCACCCCACCCAGCCTCATTTGCATAACTTTGCATAGGGCTGTTGAGGAGGACCAGAACCTTGGCATTGCATGGCCAGGTCATGGATATTGCTCCCCCATCTCCTGTCCAGAGGAGATGCGTCGTTGACCAGCATGCTGGGGCATCTTGGGGTGTATCTGCTCCCTTTGGAGCGCAGGACATGGCCCCCCCTGCACCCCGATGGTCGTGGGCGCCGCGGGGGAGGACTTGGTGGGGACGAGGACCTGGGCGCAGGCGAGACGGCCTCACCTTGAGGTTGCGCACAGGCGCGGCGGGGTCAGAGAAGAAGCTCTGGCGGAAGGTGATCTCCAAACCGGCTTCCTTCACCCGCTGGTCCAGGTCATCGAGGGTCTGGTGGCG